GCTGGACAGGAAGGCGTTCATGAGCTCAAAGACGCAGAAGTATTTCACTCAGACACTGTCATTGATGCTAATTCGAAAATGCTGCTGAACCTGCACCTGCTCGATTTGCATGTTTTAATAGACCGGATGTGGTCAAAGCTGTTGCCCTCTCTGTCGAGGTCAGAGTTGTTAATGACTTCTTTAAATTCCATCTTCACTGTATCACACATGTTGGTGGAGAGGAGACTGATTTGTTACGATGCTAAATCAATGAAGCTCATTTACTTGCTAATGCTTGCTGTACTTTTACATGAACGGCAGGTCGTTACTGATCTCAGAGCCTTTGAAAGGTGAGCCTGTGGCAGCTCGCCTCACACAGTAGTCTCCCATGAAGTCAAAGACCAGAGGTTTATCCATAAGACAGTGTTCTACTGTTGAGGGGAGACAAACCCTACCACTCTATTTTCTCAAACCTCAACAGCTTCCTTCCAGTGCATAAACCTAACCAGTGATCTATATAAACAGTTGTGGTCAGTAACTTACTTACATGCATCGAAGGCATGAATGCTGTGATACTCTGGGGCTTTTAATGACTAATGGAATGATTGTCACATTTACATTTTAAATAACTTTTCAACTGAAAAATCTGGTGTACAAATTGGGAATGATTTGGGAATTTCTCGTTCACACAAGGTAAACATACAGTTTGAAATACAAACACTTACTCAACAGTTCTAAGTGGTGCTAAAGGATCTGTGGTATCCTGCTCTGGAACGAGCGTACTGCAATCAGAGGTTCGAGTCTGCCAGAACAAATGAGTAATTATATTTTAGGCATGTAAATACAAATACAGTGAAGGGCTAATGTTTCATTTGCTGAAAACTGGTGTTGCATCTAGCTGATGGCATGGAGATACTTTCTTTCTAAATAGTAAAATAACAAGTAGTTTTGCAGGAGGTTTCACAAAAAAACACAATTCAGCAACTCATCAACAACTCAACACAACGCCACAGAAAAAAGGTTATAACCGGTGATGTTTGTTTACGGCCACCTCAGCACTTCTAGCTAGATGCTAAAACACTGTGAAGCTGAGGTGGCAGCTGCACATGAACATGTCACAGTGAGGTTAATCCAGTGTGATCCATTAATAAGTAAATCTGTCACCAGGAGAGGCTGGAGGGGTTAAAGTGGCTGACCCACTTCAACCTGGGCCTGAGTAGTAGCTGCAGTCCTCTGGTTTATGGCCGAGTGTATAAGGATCTAAAGACACACCCACGAGACACAGTGTGTTAACATGCTAATGCATCTGTGCTATAAAAACTATATATGGACTTCTGTTATTTTTTTCTGGGGGCATTTCAGGTTTCGTATTATTTTAGTTCCTTCAACAAAGACGGTGATGATAATTGTTTTTCACATTGTAACATTGTTTCAGCCTTAAAACACGCAGTGAGAAAACCGCTGAGTCGGGAACCTGAAAGTCACATTAGCAGCAGAAGTAGGGCAGCTCTTATCAGCTGATTGAGTGATTTACCATCATGTTAAATAGGTTGCTGATTATTGAAATGGTTATTTTAAAGTAATTTTAAAGATTATAAAATTCATTTTAAAGTTAAATATGACCATCTCTGCCAGCCAGATTCAGCTCTTTTTAAATGGGGTACTTTCTGTTGTTTTGTTTTTCCAATTTTCCAGTCAGTCACTCTATCACTGTTATTCAGAAACTGTTTGACAGCAGTCATCAGGATTATCCATGAATAACAGCTTTGGTGACAGTGGGAGGGAAAAACTCCCCAGTAACAGGAAGGAACCTCCAGGCAGTCTGACTGGGGTGATCAGGATCAGAAGCTGCTGAAGAGAACCAGAGATTAATAATAACTAATGATTAAATGCAGAGTGGTGTATAAACACATAGTGAGCTGAAAAGGTCAGTGAAGAAGAAACACTCGCCAGCAGCATTGACCTATTATAGCATAAGAGAGGATTCAGGGTCACCTGATTCAGCCCAAATACATGTTTTATCAAAAGTTTCCAGTTTTAATAAAGCTCTCATTTCCATGTGCTCTATAAATTACCTATAGGCTTCTCTTGAAGAAGCTGAAGGCTTCTGCTTAAATACCCTTGGATGTTCTAATAGGGTGATATGGTACTACAAGGTCATTAAGATAAGATGGGGCCTGATTATTTAAGACCTTGTATGTGAGGAGCAGGATTTTGAATTCTGGATTTAACAGGAAGCCAAAACAGGAGAAATCTGCTCTCTCTTTCTAGTCCCTGTCAGGACTCTTGCTGCAGCATTTTGGATTAGCTGAAGGCTTTTCAGTGAGTTTTTTGGACTTCCTGATAATAATGAATTGCAGTAGTCCAGCCTGGAAGTAATAAATGCATGAACTAGTTTTTCAGCGTCACTCTGAGACAGGATATTTCTAACTTTATGCAGACTGCACAAATTTAAGAAAACCCACATTTGTTTAATATGTGCAATAAAGGACATCTGATCTATGTTGTATGGCATTCAATGCAACTGAAAGTCTGCATCCTCATCGACAGACAAACCCTGAAAAACTCCATTAAAACAGATTTTTCTTCAGACTAATACAACAGCCTTATACATGTGTAGTAGTGACTAACCTGTGCTCTAAAACCCTCAACTGCAAGTTGAAAAAGAGCATTATTCTATTGTTTTTCTCAAAGCGCTAATTAGCCGATGCTCCTGGTAGACACGTCTGTAGCCTACACAGGGTTAAATCCAGATCTGCTGCAGGTACTTTTTCTGGATACTAATCTGTACTATGAACAAAAACAAACAGAGGAACCGTGCATGTCTCTGTGGTTTATGTCGCACACACGTGTGCACAAGACTTCCAGTAGCAACTTTTCAGCAACTGTCAGCAGCTCTAAAATGTTTTCTCATCATTTACAGCTCTAACTAGCACCATCTACAGTCCGAAGCACTATATTACATGCTACCCTGTCACACTCTGTCAAAAAATGCTTTCATAATTCTGATTTAACCATTGTGGCAACATGTTATGTAATGAGGTGCTCAAATAAAGGTTCTGGGCTTGTAGCTTCAGCAGAAAATAAATATGCTTTGCACATTTCGTTTGATGTTGAGACAAAACTGAGAGAGTCTCCTTTATTTCAAAAAGTTTCATTTTCATTGTTGTTGTTGTTGTTCTTCTTCTTCTTCTTCTTCTTCTTTTGGCTGCTCTGTGACCAGCTGTGACCATGACAGGCCACCCAAGGATTTTCAGACCACGTTTAAGGGGAAAAAACAGCAAACCTTTATATTTATATGCAGTTTTTATGCACCAATAATTTTGAGAGCCAGCAGCAGACAAACAATATTTCAGTCTTCATCCTAGTGTATCGAGGCTTGGTTGGGCTGTCAAGTGATCAGTGGCGTCCGAAGCTTCAATCAGCACATTGCTGCTGCAGTATTCAGTGGTTTATACAGAAGTGAATCTTTAGTGGGATTTGTGCTGTTGTGGTGATGTTGTGTGAGAGATCGTAAACCCATGTGGGATATACTGAGAGACATGGAGCGAGCAAGAAAGAGAGGATGCTCTGCTGTATAAAAAATAAATAGAATAACCTTAAGTGTTGTTATTATGATATTAAACAGAAGCTGTCATTTCAAGTTGTAGATGCAAGCTGCTCTTCACGCAACTTTTGCTTTTGGCCACAAGATGGCACCAAAGAGGACTAACAGAACACTAACACAAGCTTCAGTGCTTCAGACGGCTTCATTTGGCCGTCACTAGATGCTGACACTATAGAAATAAACTGGAAATGAACTGAACTGAAAGAGGCAGTTTTACTGCAGTAAGAAAACACTTCAGTGATCTTAAAAGAAACCATGGCTCTGCAATGATTCAGACTATATACTGTAAACACAGAAAAGGGGAGAGAGGACATTCCTGGGGAACACTGCTGACTGATGAGACAGAGGAAGCAAAAATCGTCAGTCAACCATTTCATTACCACTGCATCTTACATGGCCCCCACCTGCCACCCCTGCTGCACATGCAAGCTGTTTTCACCTTGGATCCATTTTTACCTTGTTAGCCTCTTTATTACTGTTGACTCATGACCACTGACCCTAACCGAGGCAGGTGAGGCCTGGAGTTCTTTTATGAAAAGAGATGACTGAAACAAGCTCCATATATCATACATATGATACATACTAAGTCAGCTGATCAAGCCCCAACTTTAAGCTGTATCAAAAAAAAGTTTGAAGCCTAACCTTAAAAGTAAAGAAGGGGCCTGTCTCCCAAACCCAAACTGGGAGCTGGTTCGGCTCTGCCTCCCATTCTACTTTAGGAACAACAACAGGTCAGTAAGCAGGGCTCCAACACCTTTGATGAGCCATAGTTTATGCACTGAGACACATGATAAATATGCTATATGTGTCGTTATTGTCTGTGCCATGTGGACGTCATCTTGTCAGTATTTATCTTCTCTGTTATTTGACATAACAGCAAAGAGCCCATTTGTACACAGCGAGACTTATTCTGACTCTAAAGGACTTTTAGAAAGTCCTGAAAACTATTAAAAAGTGTTTTCCAAAAATGTCTCCTGTTGCAACAACACATATTTATATTTTTCAAATAACAAAAGTACAATTTAAAGTCAAAAAACTTTATTTTGTGTTAATATCCAACATGAATACATGAATATTTGCTTTGCATTACAACAATAACAATAGTTGCAGTAAAAGACAGCTATCATTGTACTCGTTTAATTATCCCAAGCATTGCATTTTAAGTTGCATTTATGCTGATTTTACATCTAAACTCAATGGAAAATCAAAGCTACAGCTTTTTACCATCATTTGAGTTTACAAGAATGTAAACATTATTTTTTCACTTAAAAAGTAAAATTTTGGTGTTTTTCATCAGTCAAAGAGGTGAAAATGATCATCCCCACCCCGCTCACTACGTAGAAGCAATAATATCATTCGAACGCTTCTAAGCCAAAGAAAACTGCCCCGCACACGACAGCTCCACCACCAACATTCACATGTTACACACGATGTTTTCACACGGACCTGAAGCTCCGTCCACCTTATGAAGCGTGCCCGGCCACGGCCTCAACATTTCTCTCCTCCCCCGTTCACACTGGACAGTCTGAAAATGGAGAACCATGCAGAAGTTAATGGAGTGAATAATTATCATTGTATGCAGCAGAGCCTGACAGCTACGTGGAAGGAAAAGATCACATGATTCGTCTGTGACACGAGAGGCTTATGGAAAGATTTGACCTTTAAAGGATAAAGATCTCTGTCAGCCTGACATATTGTGTTTCTGTTGTTGATCTTGAAGAATCCTTTACACCACTAAGACTTCTAATGATACAGTCTCGTGCCATTAGTACTCTTGGACTGTTAACCATGAATATATGCATAAATATACTACTACTACCGATAAACAGGCTAAAACACTGAGAAGTGGTTGGAAAGAAATAAGTGGAGCAAACTGAGGTCAAGGTTGCTGTGAGGCTGTCAAAGTGGAGAAAAAACCCTACAAAGTGAAAGAGTTCTCTTTACAGTTGTTACAGTATCAACAAGAGAACAACTTTCTGGAAACCAGCTGAGCCTGGACGGCACGTGGAGGATCCAGCACGCAACAGAGTTTCCTGCACAGCCACAATAATCTGTAGCTTGTTAGCTACTTAACATGTTAGAAACAATTTTAGAAACATCAATTTTGTTTGTGCAGAGGGTAGAATACCCCATGGAGAGCCCGAGCACACAGGAAATGATTTTCCTAAATAGCATGGTAGAAAAAAGCTTCCCTGTCTCTGAAACTGTTCTGGACGAGGAGCGAAACATCAGTGACTCGCAGCTGATCAATGTCTCGAGGCTAAAAACACAAAACTGCTTTTTAAACAACCCGTGCAACTTCATGGTTCAGTGTTTGCTCTTTCATAAGTGAAACTGCAATATTCCACGTGAAAACTTAGAACCAGTTACCTTCTTCAAGCCAGTTAGCCAATGACTGCTGATTCACACTCTTAGCATCAGAAACAGTTAACTGTGTTGGACTCAGGTCGCTGTAACGCTACTAATCAGAAATAAATACTAATCAAATCCTGATAAAGACAAAATCAATTAATAATGTTCTGACCTGAAAGTAGATGATGATGATTAAGACACAAATGACTGCGATCACCAGGACGACCACAGGAACACTGACAGGTGCCGTGTTATCATCATCTCCCTCCTCTTCACCCTGGTGGTGACTTTGCCTCTGAGCTTCCTGCACGGGGCAGCTGGAGCTGTCTGTGGACGCAGAGAGGAAACGTAAGACTAAAGATTTCAGCTTTGTGGATAAACATGGCCGTGCGGTCGCCTCACCGAGGACATGAATGAGTGTGCCGTTGCCAATAAGCCGCAGGAACGGTGGCGGGTAGACGATCTGTATTTCACAGCGATACATATCTGTGTCAGTGACATTCAGGCCAGAGAGCGTCACCTCCACAGTGTCGTGCGTGGTCTCAGCAGTGCACTCCACCTGAAACGTACAGGACACCATTGTACCTCAACACTGTGCACAAGTTTTTGTATTTCAGTCTAATGTTTATGCCATTTGTAAGAGTGCAATCTTCAGTTTAATGCATCATATAATGAAGAAAACGAATATTTATGGAGGAAGAAATATGCATTTATAGGATGGATCTGGATTCTTAATGTTTGAGACCTTATTCACTCATGCATGCAGTTTGCTGAGCACATGAACCCCCTTCATTTGCTAACTGAGGGTGAATTAAGGGTGTAATGAAAGTGGGCTTCTTCAGTTGTGAGCCATGATATAAATATTTTGATATAGCGCTTTTCCACCAATGGATGCATCGGAGGGCAACATGGGGTTTGGTACCTCGCCCAACGATGTTTGGCTGGAACAGAAGGAGGTGGAACCACCAACCTTCCCATTAGTAGGTGACCTGCTTTCCCACCTGAGTTTTTAAGTGTTATGTTGTGTCACTAGCAGGAAAGAACAAGTCGCAGTGGCAGATTCCTGAAGAAAACTCAACCTCAACAGGCAAAAAAGCACAAAAACAATAATTACCTGTTCTTTTTGCTCCATACGTGTCTCTCTCGGGTCCGTGAAGTTAAGGATGGAGAAGCAGAGTTCTTGTTGGCCATGGAGGCCCTTCAGCACAGCGACTCTGACCTCCTCAGGGTATGGGTATCTCAGGCTTTGTGGATGAATAGCACACTGAATCTGTGCCACACCATTGGTGCTGACCACTCTGTAGGGCTGGGTCACTTTCGGAGCTGGCATGAGAAAAGGTATAAGTGACTATTAGTAGCAGCAATGAAGAAGCAAATACTATCAGCTAAAACCATTTACATATCAGAGTCCAGTTCCAGTGGAAGAAAAACAACAACACCAAGTCTCCCAGGCAAACATGCTTAAACTCATTTTCATTGAGCACTCAAAGAAAGAAATGTATATATAGATCTGTTCATATAACGACAAATGAGCTAACACAAGAAAATAATACAATTATGGGAGCAAATTCTTGGTTTTGTAAGCTTTGTATGGATTAAACAGACAGGACACAACTTTGGAAAACCTCACAGGAGCTAAGACACCGATGCTGTGGGTAAAGTGTGGATGAGTGTGGATGAGTGTTTGGATTCTGACTCCTCCAGTTCAAAAGTTATCAGATTTGAATTGTTGTTTCATTGGTTTTCCTCCAAGCCAAGTGTTTGAATGTCTATCGAGCTGATAGTTAGATTTAGCACCTACCTACTGAAGGCCTGCTGAACAGTGTCATTTAATATACCTGAATTGTTTAATCCTACATTTGAAATTCCATTACTCTTTTACGTTTTTCATCAGACGATGGAACGGTTCATGATGTGCTTGTTGAAAATTAATTGGAATACATTAAATTTCCTGGCTAGCACTTTAAAAGCTAAAACCACATTACAATGCCTTATAATACAGTCAGCTGAATTCACAAGGAGCAGTAAACTTCAGCTAAGGACAGCTGAACATCTATCAAAAACAAATATTGCTGAAGATTCATGATCAGTTTTGTCATTCTGGTGGCAAAACGTCTGGATCCATGGGTCACTCCACCTGTCAGATTAATGCTGTGATTACATCCTGCAAACTAAAGGTTTCAGCACTCTTCACATGTATTTCATATTTTCCATGTATCGCGTCTGAAATGATGACTTCTTTTAAATACAGAAAATACCAAGGACATGGTTCTCTCCTCTTCCACCTGACACCTGAAAACCATGTTTGACATCACTGATGCTGGGCTTGGTCCCAGTTTGAAGTCAACAGTAAGTCTTAAACTTGCTCATGTAGGAGCAAAGTTTGTCTACACAGCTCCACCGTTAAATATGGAAATGTAGTCACTGTGGTGCATGGTCCAGCAGCTAGTTAACATATCTTTGGTGTCCCAACTAATCCTGTCAGAGCTGCCCTCAGGCTCTTCAATGGTTTTGCATGACTGTGGCACCATTATCTTTATCTGTAGTTTAGTGTGATTCTCATTCGCTTTTCTTGTTCGTAATGAACTTAAAAATAATGGTTTTTAAAGTGTTACAGAAATCATCAGTAAAAGGTTGTTTATACTCACTGCTCCACACAGGCAGGCAGAAGCTAAGAGCTGCCAACACAATCCATCCCATCATACAGTGAGTCAGGAACATCCTGCTGTATTTCACACTGCTCCACAAAGCCACAGGCACTTAAAATGATCTTTACGCCGGCGATCACTCACACTGAGCAAATTTGACCGAAACACATGAAAACGAGTGAAACTCATCTTTATATTTCCTTACGTGCTGTCATGGAAACTGTGTAGCAGCACAGGAAATGATGATGAGGTTTTGCCGGTAAGAGAGATGGCAGCGTGGTTGTGGTTCTGCTGGAACACTGAGAAAAACATGAATTTCATTTTTCTATGATTTTAATGAACTAGTTTAATCTGAGCAGCATCCTCAGAAGAAAAAAGAAGAAGCTGCTCAAAACTCATGAAAAACAAAGAAAGGAGATCGTGGTAAAATATGACAGCAGTCAATTAAAATCTAAAGAAAACTTCAATATTAATGAGACAGAAAAATAAACATGATGCTGTTTATGTTCTTTAAAGGATGTGAAAAGCGTAAGAATGTTCCAGAACAGCTACTAGAAACAAAGTGACACCTGCTGGCTCGGGAATTTTTACATCTTTCAACTCTGTCAATAATTTCAGATCTTTTGCATTTGCTCATACAGCAAGTTAAATAAAAGCAAAAGTCAGTGATTTATTCAAATATACACTAAACTCTCTTCACTGAAGCTTTTGTGTCTAATCCCAAAATCTGATTGTTTTGAGAGTTTTGTTGATTTTACATGAAGCGTGTGAGTGAGTCTCTGAGGCGCAGTCGCTGATCGAGGCTTTGGCAGGTGAAGCTTGGGTGGAAACTAACGTGCACAAATGACTTGTTCGTGTGGAAACTTTTGCTGGGTGAATATTTAGTTTGAATTCCTGTGACTGTTGAATTTTCCTTCCAAGTTTTAGATAACAGTGCAAAATCTGTAAAACATAAAAAACAAACTGTTATTTTTCACTGAACCATTGTTAACATGATTTTCTGTCCATGACTCAAGTTAATGAATATTCCTGAATACTTGTGATTGTTTTTTTGTCTTTAGTTGTAGTTTAACTTCTTTTTATACAATTATCTCCTGTTTGAAACAACAGGAAAACTGGAGGATCAGAACTTACTGGGCTTCACCTCAGATGGACCATTGTGTCGTTTCTGAAAAACAAAAGCCCGGGGAGTCGCTTGTGAACTTGTGGCATCAAGAGGTTAATTCATCTTTATATGCTTTTAGACAAACAAAAACTAAACAAGGCAGGCTAACCCCAAACAACACAGAACACTGAACGTTGTAGGGGAGTAGAGTGACTACACAAAGCTGTGAGTGGGATGTACAGTAGAAACTGTTTTTGTTTTCCAAAACTGTGTTGCCTCATCACAGCAGGATGGTTTTTTGCAAAAACACACGCAAACGTTAGGCGGGTCCATGCAGATCCAAAATAACACCGTAGTCTAGTCCAGGTTAGCACAAGTATATGTTTACGTTTACTTTTTTAACCTGTGATTGAAGCAGAGATCAACTCTAAACCGTAATAACTCAAAAGCAAACTGTGTCACTAATTTGTCACATTTGTTCCTGTAAAGCTTTTAAAAGACTTTTAAAACAGCATTCAAGTCCTGCTTGCAGTATAATGCAGCGCATGATGCAATCAGCACCCACATGTTGTGTTTTAATTAATCGCTGAATTGCTCTTTCTCTCTGGAATATAACAATCATTTTTGTAGTTTCATTTATGCATTCCTCTCAGGCCTGCTGCACCTAATATGCAACGATAAGGTGCAAACAGTGGAAAACAGCTAATTTTGCAAGTGCGTTTTCAGATAGTTCACTGTGAAAGTGCTGATGTTGTGACATTCGGTGGCCTGACGTCACATCTGTTTTGCCTGGAAACACTCTGTGGGGTTAAACCCCGTTTTTGACAAAGCTGACTGAAGTTACAGTCAGCACTACAGTCACCCGGAAAATGGTGGTTTATTTCTGCTGCTGTCATTGTTTCAGGACGGTTTACTATGAAGCGCATGCATGTAATGAGAAGCCGTCAGCCCCTGCATGTGCAAAAAGCTATTGAAAGGAGGTTTCACTGTTTAGTTTTGCAAAAAGGCCAAAGTTGCAAAAGCACGTGCTCATCTGATGTTCCTACTCTGTGCTCAGCTTCAGTAGATTGTGTTGATGCAGCAATTGTAACATGAAGCAAATGCAAAACTATCGAAAGCAGTTTAACAGCTGCAAAATCACATTTGGTTACATTTATCCAGTTTTTCGTTAAATGCACAAACGTCTCAGTGATATAAACAATAAACAGAAAACGTCCTCCTGTCAAAGCTGCAGCCCAAAACTGAGATGCGAGACACGGTTGTGCTTGAAGCTCCAAACTTGCACTTTGCAGCATCTCTGACTGCAACCTTCAACGGTTAAACCGTTCTCTTTCAAATGTAAGAACGTGTTAGCAGCTCAGTCTGTTGCAGCGCTGCTTCTCAAAAGAAAATCTGTTTTTGTTATTCAAGATCTACAGCTGCCATTTGAGTGCATGCATGTATTTCTACTACTTTAGATGTGATTCTACACTTCTCCATCACTATACTTGTTTTATCTTAAACACATATTTGAGATGGTGATGCACTGCTTATCATGACAGCAACATGAATCCAGAGTACAGTGTGTATGTTGGAGAGTTCATTGATCCTGGGTGTGAGAGTGGAGGTAATGTAGCTTGTTTTAAGTGCTTTGAGAGGTAAGTAGAAAATTGATGCCAATAAGTGGGTCTATCCCTGCC